GCGACTCACCCATGTTTGAGTCTTTTCGTTGTTGAGTAATACCACACTTTATGATGGACTCGCTGGTTGTTTCCAGCTTACGGCTATTATAAGAGAAAAAAAAAGATGCTTCCTTGACAATTTGTGCACAGGGTTTTGTGTGGACGTATATTTTCATTTATCTTCGGGAAATACCTGAAAATAGAATGGCTAGGGTCGGGGGCGGGGGTGCAAAGTCTGCTTTTCTTGCCTCTGGGTGCTTCATGGCAGGTTGTACCCCTACCCCAGGGCCCAGTTCTTTTCTACATGGATACGTCTAAACATCAGATTGTTCATGGTAATTGAAGGAGAGCCTCCCAGAAGTGCCTACTCCCACCAGAGTCTACCTGCTCTTAACATCTTTTCAGTTAAATGTCCCATATTTTCATTATAAAGAATTAACTCTAGAAATCGGAAATTTTAGCTTTTTAGGAATAACTTGCACTAAATAAAGCCAGAAAGGAAGAGTTTACATTACCCGGGAGAGAAACCACACACACATAAGACTTTTAAAATAAAAAATGAATTCATATGCAAGTTGAACCCAAAATCTGAACTTGAAGTCATTTTGGTTAATTTCCTCAAAATGATAAACTAGGTTTCCAGTGAGTCTTCAAATCAGTTCTGGCTGCAAGACAGTATTATAAAGTCACTTTTAATGACACCTTAATCATATTTGCATTTATTTTGCTTCTATGTACATACTTCCAGGAACTTGAGTCACTGTCAGAATCTCATCCTTATTCTGTTTAAACCACAACTCACACTGAAGAGTTGCTTGTGAAACTCTTTTGCACAGCCTGGACAGGCTGAACCTTGCCATTGCAACACAACTAAAGATCTACCAAAAATAACTAATGTAAAAGATCAAACCAATTCGCTTGACTCTTAGAAAAGTAAACAGGCCCTGAGTGGATTCTCCAAGGGTGACCCCAGATTCAGCATATCCTGAATACAAGTAAAATGAGACCCTCGTTGCTGATCACCCTGATACAAAGCCTGGGATAAGGCTGGCAATGGTTTAATACCTATCTACACCAGTACTCTTAACACTGTAATAATGAAACAGATGAGGTGGTTAAATGAGTATCTGTAGTCTAAAAGGCCATAATTTTAAAGTAAGAAAAAGGAATTCACCTTAGGGTTCCAATTATGCTAAAAAGATGCCTGGGATATGAGACTGGAATGAAATATAAAATGTACCAAAATACATAGAACAGGGAAATAGATACAAGATCTTGTGGTAGCTCATAGTGAAAGAGAATGTGACAATGAATATATGTATATTCATGTATAACTGAAAAATTGTGCTCTACACTGGAAATTGACACAACATTGTAAACTGCCTATAACTCAATTTAAAAAAGTTAAAAAAAATTTTTTGAATGCACCAAGATAATAATGATGAAAGAATGTAAGGTGACATTTCTTTCTACCTTTAAAATTTTTATATCATGGTTATTATATTTTTGAAAGGAAAAATCAAAGGGTTTAGGAATGAACATGTACTTTAAACTGTAAATTAAAATAAATTTTTATTTCAAAGCATCTTTTAAAATTACAGCATGTCTATCTTATGCTGTTAACTCTGCCCAACTACAACTTAGCCATATGAAGCATAAAACACTTCAAAAATTTGAATGTAAACCACATTTTTAAAACAAAAAGCAGTCTTAACACACCTCAGATTTTAGATGCCAATGTATTTTGTCCAAGTATATAGCTTATATCAAAAAAGAATATTTTAAATATTTCTATAGTAAATAGTTGTAATAATTTCTTAAACTTCCAATTATACAAATTAGAAATGTTTGTGAATGTAGTTATTATAGTTGACACAAGCTGACAGGAGAAAACAAACAAGAACTCTTACTTTTGAAGGCCTTAAATTTTATTACCCACAAAGTGGCAAGTATTTGTATCTTGTTTGCACTTACTTCTTTAGATCAAGTTCATCACATTTTAAATTCTCCCAAAACGAAGAGTGTTGCTTTTAAGTCCATAGTTCATTTAAGTCATATTTGAGAGAAAAAATACTAGAGAAAAATGTTGAAACTTAAACCAAAAAAATTCAGATGCTATGGTCTTACACGCTCATTAAGTGCTGCTGGTAGAATTCTATATTCCAGATTACAAATAAAATTCTTAGACCATTACAAATATAAATTCTCTTATTACCAAGGAAAAAAATCCCTCAAGATTTGTGATTTACTGTACAGAGGAATTACATTTTTAAAGTATGTCCTCATCATACACATTATTTGTCACTATCATCTTTCACGCTTTTGCTCCATTTGAAGACGTTTCTGTACCTCCCCTTCCCCCTGGCTACATATTTTAAACTACTTGGGTACTGCAACAGATTTTTGGATTTTGGGATAAAGAAGCCTACATTTCAGATAATGTTGAAAGTACATCTGTAGGCTACCGCTTCAATTCAAAAAAGAAAAAACAAAAGGCGCTGAAGAGCCCATACTTCCCTCTGTTCTTCTGAGGTTTACTCCAATTAAGCAATCTATAAAATGACCACGCTATGCATGTTACTTACTTTCTGCTTAAAAGCTAAAATGATGGAGGTTTATGCCTACATAAAGGAGGTGAACTACTCAGCTCTTGATTTTTCTATTCGTGCTTCAGTACATAAAGTGATGTTTAAAAACTCCATCTATTTGGAAAAAAAAGATTTAAAACCACCACACAAGTTAACACACTTGCAGTTAAAACTATTCCAGAAGCCTGCTTATCTGAGTCGCTAGTATTTTCTGCAGTGTTTAATTAACTGATAGCTAAATTTAGTGAACACAAAATAGCTTGGCATGTTATTCTGAAGTAAAGCAAGAAGGTGGCTTGATGCACTGAAGATATAAATAAGAGGCTTCCATTTGCTAATAATTCTAAACAAGCAGTACATTTAAATTTAGTGTTTGCTAACAAAAGATCTAAAACAGTTCACTACAAAACAACCCTGTAGATGTCCCTTTTATTAATAAAACTCCAAGTGCCAAATCTCATTACAGGGCCCATAATATTAAAAAAATACCAATTACCAAGTTACCTAGACTTTGCAAGATTAATCATTCAATTTCAGCAAATGAGAAATATGAAATGTGCAAACGTTCCCAAGTTAACAAGCGAGGGATGACAAGTGCTTTCAAACCTGAACATCAGAGTGAGTTGTAAAGCCTCCGAAAGATAGAATAAGACTGGTTTGACTCCGATTTTGAGAATTCTGAACTACTACCGTTCATCTTACCCAGATCTTCAAATACCTGTTTTCTTCCAAAGTCCCTAAGTTAGAAAGTCATCCGAAACGGTCAGTTTTCCATTTCTCTAGTCTTATTAGGCATACTATTTTGCAATTTAAAAATATATATCTTACACACATATCTTATACTCTCCTGCTTGCGTCAGTGTTTACAGTATTGCTAAAAATACTAATATACATTGTTAAAAATGACCTCATAAATAATCTACTTAAACCTTCTTTGGCTACATGTACCATTCTGTTTTTCCACCCAAGTGTCTTATTCAGAAAGTGCTTCCTGTGAGAACTGCTTCCAATGAATGCATTAAACTTGCAAAATCTAGCTTCCCACAATACGTAGTCTTTTTTCTTTTCTACCCTGTACTAGAAGTCCCATATTTACAAAAAATAGTTTAAACTTTACAACAAATCCATTACCATATAAAAAAAAAGTGCAATTCTCTCTCGCCCCGTATTCTGGGGCAACGACATTCTTCATACATTTCTACAGAATAGCAGCCTATGATAAGCAAGTAAGGTGCTTAGCTTATGCCCAAGGATCTACTTTTTAAGTACGCCGGGCAGTACTTTTGTACAGTAGGGGGGTCCGTGTGCGGGCTACTGGCGGAGCGGCGCGCCGGTCAGGTTGGCCAGCTCGATGAGCGCCAGCGCCCCGTGCAGCCGCTCCCGCTGCTCCTGCAGCCGCCGCTGCGCGCCGCTCTTCTCGTCGTCCTCCTCGTCCGACTGCAGGTACTCCAGCGGGTCCTGCTGCTCCTGGTCCGCCTTCGGAGCCAGCTTGCCTTTCAGGGTCGGGGTGCGCTGCTCTCGGGTTTCCCAGTACCTAGGGGAGACGCATCGCGTTAGTGGTGCCGCGCACGTGGCATTCTCCAGGGTGCGCGCGTCTTTAAAAAAAAAAAAAAAGGGGGGGGAGACATTCTCAAACGTTCACTTTAAAAAAAGGGGGTGGGGAGACATTCTCAAATGTGCACTTTTCTTTAAAAATAAAAAGGGGGGCAGATATTCTTAAATGTTCACTTTTCAAAAATAAAAAGGGGGGCAGATATTCTCAAATATCTACTTTTCTTTAAAAAAAGGGGGGAGACATTCTCAATGTGCACTTTTCTTTAAAAATAAGAAGGGGAGCAGATATTCTCAAATGTTCACTTTTCTGTAAAAAGAAGGGGGCAGATATTCTCAAATATCTACTTTTCTTTAAAAAAAACGGGGGTAGACATTCTCAAATGTGCACTTTTCTTTAAAAATAAAAAGGGGGCAGATATTCTCAAATATCTACTTTTCTTTAAAAAAAAGTGGGGAGACATTCTCAAATGTGCACTTTTCTTTAAAAATAAAAAGGGGGGCAGATGTTCTTAAATGTTCACTTTTCAAAAATAAAAAGGGGGGGCAGATATTCTCAAATGTTCACTTTTCTTTAAAAATAAAAAGAAGGGGGGCAGACATTCTCAAATATCTACTTTTCTTTAAAAAAGGGGGGACACATTCTCAAATGTTCACTTTTTAAAAAAAAGAAGGGGAGACATTCTCAAAAGTTCACTTTTCTTTAAAAAAAGAAGGGGGAGACATTCTCAAATGTTCACTTTACTTTAAAAAAAGAAGAGGGGAGACATTCTCAAATGTTCACTTTTGTTTTAAAAAAGGGGGAGAGGTCTTTACTATGGTATTATTTTATGTTTCAGTTTATAAAGTTATACAGCGATTTCACATGTATTACATGTATTTCCTGTAATGAGGCAGATTCAGGTTCAAGTTGAAGGGCTTGCTCAGATTTCCAGAACCAACAGGTAAGATGAGACCCTGACGGAGCTAACTGGGAGAAAGTTTACACCCACAAAATGCTGCAAATGGATTAATATGTGTAGCGCATAGAGTTTACTCAGAAATTTAAGAGCACCGTCATTATTCTCCTTTGTCACCAATGATAATTCACAAGAGAAAATGTTAATGTTCCACCTTTCTGATAACCAAAGAAAGGTATATTTTAATGACAGGACCACGACCTACAAAAATGTCCATTCAAAGACTTGTATATTCGTGTTCATACAGCAGCTTTATTTGTAACCACCAAAGACAACACAAAAGCCCATCAGAAGGTGAAGGAATAAACAAGTGGAGGTGTAGCCATACAGTAGAAAAAGGAATGAACTGATTCCCTCGGCATGATGACACTCAAAACAGTCCCGCTGACTAAAAGCAGTCAGACAACCAGGAGTATATACTGTATGACTTCACTTGTATAAAACTCCACTAAATGCAAACTGACTATAGTATCAGAAAGATCAGGGCTGTCTAGGGAGGAGGAAGGCGGGGAGGAGCGGAGTGGTGGACTGCAAAAGGCCATGGGGAGGCTTGTGAAAGTGATGGACATGTTCACAATCTTGATCAGGGTGATGGTTTCACATATGGTGTCTACCTACGTCAAAACGCATCACATTGTACACTGTAAGTATGTACAATTTATTGTGTGTCAATTATACCTCAATAAAGCTGGTTTTTAAATTACATACCAAAAAAATAGTACAATGACCAGATTTCAGGAAATCCAGACTACTCAAACTGGAAAAGTCTTGGCAATACTCAGAAGTGTAAAAAGAGAAATGCAAACAGTTCAGTGTGACTTGAAGGACAACCAGGAAAGGAAAATAGCAAAAGGTAATTAGCAAGGTCAGCAGGGACCAGGTAACGAAGGGCTTTGAATGCCACAGTAAGAGGCTCAGACTTCATACTGAGGATCATAGTAGCATTTGAGAAAGACCCCTCTGCCCACAGCATGGAGAATGGATAGAGAAGACCAAAGTGGCTGAATCTGAGAGTTGTTAAGGAAGTGGAATCCAAGGTCGGTCACTGAGCAGACAGGAGAAAAAGAAGATAAAGACAAGGATGACTTGGGCAGAATCAGAGATAAGGGGGCAGCAGGGCCCAGCCAGGAGGAAGAGGGAGGGAGGAAGTGATGCAGTACCCGAGACAGAAGAGACAGACGCAACCCCTGCCCCTGTGGAGCTTACGATCCAGCAGGGAAGACAGACGGTAAACAAACAAATAAACGTGTGATGGAGGTTTTGAGAGGGAAAATACAACGTGTTGTAAAAGCATCTTTAGGATTTAAGGATTTAACCTTGTTTGTTTAGGGGATTGGTGGGCAGGTTAGGGAAGCCCTTCCTGAAGGGATGTTTAACCTGAATAAGAAATGAAGAGAGGGGGGTGGGAAGGGATAAATTGGGAGTCTGAGATCTGCAGATGCACACTACAATATATAAAATAGATAAACAACAAGATTCCCCTGTATGGCACAAGGAACTATATTCAATATCTTGTAGTAACCTATAATGGAAAAGTATATGAAAAGGAATATGTGTATGTATATGTATGACTGAGACATTGTGCGAGAACCAGAAATTGACACAACATTGTAAACTGACTAGACTTCAACTAAAAAAAAGACAAGACGTGAAGAATGAGCTGAGTGGCTAAATGAAAAGGGAAGTGAGCACGAAGGCCTGGAAACTACAGCAATGGTGGTGCCGAGGGACAGGAAGCCCAGGTGGCTAGGGGAGACGGAGTCACAGCAGCACGATGAGGCATTCTCGACTCCACCCTAAGTGCAGAGGGAGCTACGGAATCCAGGGAGTGGCACAATCAGTTGCTGCTGGGGAGTACACAGTAAATGACTCCTTAAAGCAAGATACCCTTAGAGAAATTATTTTTATATTCTTCCTTGTTGCCATTAAAAAAATTAAACTGGGTGCTTTTCGGAATTTTCCTTTCGAAGAACCTCTAGCCTCCATCCATGTAATAATCAACAGATACTTAACTCCAATATAAAGAAACTGAAGGGGGATTGAACTGATGGCAAATGGAATCCAACACATAAAAAATATTCTTTTCCAAGGGGGTAAACTCTTGCTTTTAAAATAAATCATGGTCTGGACACTCAGACTAATTAATATCCTATAGTAGTTTTCTATCACACACAGATCCAAACAAAACTGCTAACAATTCTGTGGTGTGAGGAAATAGCGAGCCATTTCAAGTTATTTTATAAAATGTGTATACAAGCAACTTATTTAAATCGAGAGAACTGTCAGTGTCCCCAGCTCCACCCACACACTGGGCAGTGCTCCGAAGTAGGTGCCAGGAGAGCCTTACTTTGCCAACCACTCGGCGGCAGCCTGGTTGTCCACAGCCTGGGGCTTGCTGAGAGCATCTGTGGGCTCCTCCCGCTTCAGCCTGGCATAAGGGTGCTTCGGACAGTGGCGGTTTGCATGGGTGAATCTACTCAGGCAGCCTTCAAAACACACAGAGAGAAACACTTACAAGGATCTGGACACCCAGCAGACACGGAAAACTGATATCCCAGAAAGTAATTTCATTCTTGGAATCCATCATTAAAAAACATCCGAAAAGGTAAACAAAGCTTTAAGTAGGAAAACATGCCCTCAGGTTTGTTGGTAACAAGCAAACATTTTAAAAGCAAATTAAATATTTAATAATTAACATTGAGGCGACCATTGTGTATAGCTGAAGCAAATTCACTAGACGCTACATTTGTAGCAACTGACTAATAATCAAAAAAAAAAACATGGAGCAACAGAACAAAACTGTATTGAATTTCAAAAATAACTATGTAAAAATGTACAGAAGAAAAACATCTTAAGAAACTGTGATAAAAGATTAAGAAAACACTTAAGAAAAAAGTGTTAAAAAATCACCAACAGCAGTGGTGTTGAGATGGTAAAATCAACTCACCCCCCGCCCCTCCTGTACTCAAAATTTTAGACAATAACATGTTTCCTCCAGTTTAACAGTTAAAAAGTTTAAAACCAAAGTAAAAGCCGACTCTAAAGGCTGTATTTACTTTTATAGATTCTTCTACTGCCTACAACTGGACATAACATCTTCAATTGTCCATTAAGATTTTTTCAATTAAAAAGAATATTTAAAAATCAGTCTTTTCCCAGAAACACAATTAGCAAGGAAGGAAACAGGATGTTTTACAAAATCTTTATCAAAAATCTCACCTCCCAAAAAGTCAAGCAACAGATACTTTAACTCTTAACTCAACAACTAATTATTCCATAAACTTAACTCCTAACATCATACCATTTTCTGAACAAACAAAAGGTTTTTCTCCGGTGTGAAGACGCTGATGTGTTTTGAGCTGTCCGCTTTGAACAAAGGCTTTTCCACAGTCTGGATAATCACACAGGTAGGGTCTCTCACCTAGGTAGACAGGATGCTCTATATTATTTCTGAGACAATAAGGTGAGAAGGGGAAGGGGAGGGAGAGTGAATCATGACTCCAAACAATACACATCACAGCCTCAACAGAGCAGCCAGCGGCAGTGCTAACAGCCCCCCAGTGATGTCAAGCAACTGTCTACTTGTGCTTTTAAGTACACGGGTTCAAGTCTTTGAAGTTAGCATCTTCAGCTTGTCCCCTATTTTTCCTCCCCACCATCGAAATCGCTAACTCTTGCTGATGCTTTAAAATGTCTCCCACTCCTGCTTTCTCACTGCCACCTGCCCTGGTCAGGCTGGCAGCCCCTCCAGGCTGGCCTCTAGTCTCTCACCCTGCACAGCACTTCCGGAGTAGCTGGCACAGAACACTTGCTTTTTACACTCAACTACTCCCTAAAATCACCCCCAAGCCCTACTGCACTCCTTGAACAACTGAAAATTATCCAGTGACTTTTAAATGGTCCCCTGTTATCCGCACTATAGCTGCTGGGTTAGGGGGCAAGGTTTAGCTCTGCTTCCCTCCTGGGGATGCCTTCCAGCCACGCGGCAGTTCCCCAGCTTGTTCTGCTCCTTGAAATCCCTATCTTCCCTGCCCATCCAAATCTCCCCAACCCTGGAGGTCCTCAGAGACTCCTCCTATCACTCCCTACTTCCAAATAATGGAGCTACATATCCCGTTACTCACTTTGCATCCTGTGTTATGTACCATGGCACTCTCATTATACAAAGATGCACCTTGTGCTCCATTTCAATTCCTATACACAACACAGTGCTAGGCTCAAGAAAACCCTCAAAAAAGATGTTGCTCAATCATAATTAAACTTCTTACTTCTTGAATAAACATTCTTTGGTCAACAATTATACACCAGTTCTCCCAATATGACTCAAAGAACACTAATGGGTCTTCCCTAAATTTCTCATTGTTTGGAAATGTACTAAATGAATGTGATAGTTGGACACAAGTTAACAAAACACAGGATACAGTTATTTAAAATAGTAAGAGAAATGCTTTCTACAAAGCATATACTTGTAGAGCTTAACGATTCCATGGAAATCTTGGGTTCAGTCCCCTGGCATACGGTGTATTAGGAAGCAATGGGTGACACACAGTGCGTCAGCACATCAGGAAAGGGACTCAGGGACCCTTTTACAATGCCACATGGTCTCGAATCTTATCTACACGGGCAACATGTACTCTACAGCTGTGAACCAGTTATTTGGGGTTATTTCAGACTAAATAGATTGAAAAAAAAAAAACACAAGAATTCTCAAACTCAGATATTCACTAGATAATATTATGTTTTACTGAATGTTACCTGAGTCAAAAAACCTCTTGGCCACCTTAGTTTATAATAATTCAAAATTAAAATTTTACCCCCTTTCAGGGATTCAGCTAAGAAAACTGTATTCTGTCATTAAAATTTATCTTTTCAAAAACTGAAAGAAAAGAAAATGAAAGAAACGGGTGATGACCATGAACACAGTGGAACAAACAGGACGCCAAGGGTTAAAAGCCCAAGTTCTAGACCAGTGCTGCCCAGGAAAGATGGCGCGAGGACCACTCCTCGCAGTCACATTAACAAAGCAAAAAGGAGCAAGTGAAATTAACTGATAACATACTTTATTTAACCCAGTGTATCTCAAATATTATCATCTCAATTTGTAATCAGCATCAAAAACCATGCTAATACTGCTCACCCCTTTAGACCAGCCTCATTTCTAGTGCTCAGGAGCCACGTGTGCTGCCATACTGGCCAGTGCAGTTCTAGACTCAAGGGTATGAGAAGTTGTGAGTCAGTGGTAATTGGTTTTTTCGGTGCCTCAGTTCCCTTATCTGTAAGTTATCTGATCTCATTATTAGAACCATAAGGCCCCTTCTGTGCCAACTTCCTCTGTGGAAAGAACACAGCCCTCTTTATATATATTTTTTGCTGTTGGCATTTTAAATGCAAGTATAACTAGTCTACACAAACACAGATAGTCATGGGCTAGCTCCCTACAAGACATTTAATTCTAAAAAATTATACTTCATCTTAGATTTCATGGTTAGGCCAAATACTCTGATGGTACAATTAAGGACTCTTGAAGTTCTATTAAAAACTTGACAATTACTTATTTAGGATTTGGCCTACAACTCACTTTTTTTTTTTTAATTTTTTTGGAGGGGGAGTAAGTAGCTTTACTCACTCATTTATTTTTAGAGGAGGCACTGGGGATTGAACCCAGGACCTTGAGGATGCTAAGCATGCGCTCTACCACTTGAACTACACTCTCTCCACTACAAATCGGTTTTAAGAGTTATCCAGACATATCAAGTAACATTCAGGTAGACAGAAGGATAGAACCAAATGTAGTAATAACATTCGTGTGACAACTACATTAATGACCGTGATAACTTTAGAAGTCACGTGGTATCAATGTTCAGAAAACCATCCGGCCCCAGCAACAGGGAAACTGACTACACTGCCTGTTTGAAAACCTTTACGTTACGGAAACACAACGCAACTAAAAAATTAATTCATAGGCCCAAACATCAAATCAGTTTTCAGCGTAAGCGTCACTTCCGGCATTCTCTAAAATGTGCTCAGCTTACCTGTGTGAGTCCTTTTGTGAGCCTGAAGTGATTTCTCCCGTGGAAACACCCTATTACAGATGTTACAGCGGATTCTGCTGGACGAATGCTCTCCTTCATTTATTAAATCCCGTACAGTATCTGCTCTGGGTCTACCACGCCGGATTCCATCCTGTCAACAAATTTGTATAAACATTAATGTCACTTACGGACTCCACTCATTAGAACAAAATGTCACAATGCAGGCATACCTCGCTCACTATGCTTCATTTTATCACACTTGGCATACTGTGTTTTAACAAATTGAAGGCTTGTGGCAATCCTGTGTCATCAGATGATGGTTAGCATTTTTTCTAGAAATAAACTGTTTTTTAATTAAGGTATGGACATTGTTTTTTTAGCCATAATGCACACTTATGAGACTACAGTATAGTGTAAACATAACTTTTTATGCCCTGGGAAACCAAAACATTTCTGTTACTTGCTTTACTGCAGTATTGGCTTTATCGCAGCAGTCTGGACCTGAACCCACGGTATCTCCAGGGTATGCCTGCTAATAACTTTTTAAAACTTTTCTTGAGTAATTATCAGTAAAATGGCAGAGCAGGTAGTTCCAAGGGCCCATACCTCCACAGATCACTGAAAAATGGAGCAAAAACTGTCAGAATCAGCTGTGGCACAACTCCAGAAAATAATCAGAGATTTACAGCAACTCAGCGAACACTGAATCAAGAAACAGGCAACATAAAACAGTAGGAAAGCTTTGCAATGCTTTTGACTACCCTTGCCCCACGTCCTCCCCGCAGTGGTCTTTGAAGCCAGCTGCCTTCATTCTCAGTGTGGGAACCTAGTTCCTGGTTCAAGAGAGAACAGAGAAGACTTTATTCTGAAAGAATTGTGTTTGTCTGTTTTGACCAGCCTAAGGGCTACCTGAAGGTCTCACACAGATGCCAGTCTTTGTTTTGTCTAACTTAGAACTCTCTCTGGGCAGAAAAGCAGCTACACCGAGGGCATCTCTCTCAAAGACTAACTCCTAAAGCCAATAACAACTTGCTTCCATCTGGAGGAAACAATTTCAACTAAGGCGCGCGTGTGCACACACACACACACACACACACCAAAAGCCTGGAAGGAAAAGATGGGAGAGTTTGGGAAATGAAGGCTGTGAAAAGTGCCCACATATCCTAAAGACAAGAATTTAGGAAGCTGCACACTTGCCAGGGCAGCAAGCATGCTCAGAAAAGACCTGCAAAGAACCTAAGTTTTCACTTCTGGCTGATCTTTGGGTGCAGCACAAGCAGGAAGTGAAGGCTAAGACAGAGCCGTAAATGTCTGGCTAAACATAGAAGGAGAGCTATATATAGCACAGAGTTATTCTGCAAATTAAGAGAAGTTTTTTCAAAGGGGAAGGGTATAGCTCAAGTGGTAGAGCACATGCTTATTATCATGTGTGAGGTCCTGGGCTCAATCCTCAGTACCTCCTCTAAAAATAAACAAATAAATAACCCTAATTACATCCCCCGAAAAAGAGAAGTTTTTTCCTTTTCTTTTCTTTTTTTGGGGGGAGAGGGGAACGCCAAGCATTCAAGGAAATCTCTCTCAAAATAAAAGGTCACAAGCCGAAGAAACAGACTTTAGAGAACAAACACAACAAAGAATAGTTTACAAAACCAGTTTATCACTGAACAAGTACAAACTGCAGCACACAACAAAAATGGACTCTGAAAGAATCTGATTTGCAGAGTTACTACATTGTAATACTCAAAACATCCACCTTTCAACAAAGTATTACAAAGCATACAAAGCATGAAACAAAAATATGGCCCATAAACAGGAGAAATTAATAGAAACTGTGAGGAAGCAGACATTGAAACTGCTAGACAAACATGCTAAATAAACTGCCTTAAGTGTGCTAAAAGAGATCATGGAAACTATGGACAAAGAACAAAAGAAAACCAGGAGAACACTTTTAACAAACAGAGAATGTCAATAAAGAAACAAATTATTTTTAAAATATTAAAATTCTGGAGCTAAAAAAAATCAGTCACCAAAATGAGAAAAATTCACTACAGAGTCTTAATGGCAGATGTAAACTGGCAGGAGAAAGAACCAGTAAACTTTAACATAGGTCAACTGAAATTATCCAGTCTGAGGGACAGAAAAAGAATGAACAGGGCCTAAGACACCAGTAGGACATCAAATGTCTTACAGGTCCATTCAGGCTACAATAACCAAATATCACAGGCTTGCTAACTTAATAAATGGCAGTTTATTTCTCACAATTTTGGAGGTTGTAAAGTCCAAGATCAAGGTGCCGGGCACAGTCAGGTGAGGGACTACTTCCTGGTTCATAGCCAGCAGCTTCTTACTGTTTCCTTACATGGCAGAAGGGGCCAGAGAGCTCTCCAGAGCCTCTTTCACGAAGGTACTAATTCCATTCATGAGGGCTCCACCTCTATGACCCAAGCACCTCCCAAAGGCTCCTAACAGCATCATCTTTAGGAGTCAGGATCTCAACGTATGAATTGGGCGGGGGGGGGGGACACCATAGCATCAAGCACACCAACATGCACACAACTGGAGACCCAGCAGGCAAGAAAGAAAAGGGCAGAAAAATATTTGACGAAATAATGGCTGCAAATTTCCCAGATTTGCTAAGACACACATCTAAACACTCAGGAAGCTCAATTAACTGCAAGAAGAAAAAACACAAAGAGAGATACACATGGAGACATAATCAAACTACCAACAGACAAAGACAGAATCCTGAAAGCAGCAAAAAAAAAAAGCAGTTCATCACACATACGAGTCCTCAATAGGACTAACAGCTGATTTCTCAGGAGAAACTATGCAGATCAGTGGGATGACATGTCTAAAGTGCTGAAAGGAAAAAAAAAAGTAAATAATAATCTTACAGTCAACAAAACTATCTTTCAAAAGTGAAGAAGAAATTAAGCATTTCCAGATAAACAAAAGCTAAGAGTTCATTGCAAGTAGACCTGCCCTACAGTAAATCTAAAGGAAGTTATTTCTTCAGGCAGAAGAGAAAGGACACTAGACAGTAACTCAAAGCTGCACAAAGAAATAAATACCACCAGGCAACCACATAAGACAAAAGTATTGTATTTTGAGCTTATAACTCCTTCTTTCTTTCCTATAGAAAAGGCAAATGCCAAATGTATTGGAAAAAAAATAATAAAAACCTTTGTTCATGAACATAATGTAAGATGTAACTGTGACAAAAGTAACAAAAACAGAGAGGACGAGAGCTGAATGGGAGAATTTTTGTATACTTACTGAAGCTAAAGTGGTATTCAAAATAGCTTGTTTTACATTTAAGAAGTTAATTAAAATTCCCAGGGTAACCATTTCAAAAAATAAAAATTTAAACATTTAAAAACCAGAAAAGGAAATAAGAGAGGAAAGAAAATAGTACGATACCAAAAAAATCAATTGAACACAAAAGAAGGCAGTAATAGAGGAACTGAGAAACAACAGGTATAAGACATATAGAATATAATAAAATGGCAGAAGTTCTTCTTTATAAGCAATCACCATAAATGTAAATAGGTTAAATTCCACAAATAAAAAGCAGAGACTGGTAGAATGATTTTTTTTAATAAACCAATTATACACTATCTATAAGAAACTCACTTTAGATCCAAAAACATAAATAGGGTAAAAGTAAAAGGATGAAAAAAGATAACAATTATAAACACATACACACCACAAAGGAGTCTCCAAAATGTATGAAGCAAAATTTGGCAGAACTGAAAAATAAAGAGATAGTTCAATAATAGCTGGAGACTTTCACTTTCAATTAACAGATAAGGACAACCAGAGAGTCAACAAAGATATAGAAGATTTGAGCAATGCTGTAAACCAACTACACCTAAGAAACATATACAGAACATTCACACAAAAACAGCGAATACCCATTTGTCTCAAGTGCACATGGAACAATCCCCAAGACAGACCACATGTTAGGCCACAAAGCAAGTATCAATGTATTTTAAAAGACTGAAATCATCCAAAGGATCTTCTCTGACACATACGGAATGAAACTATAAATCAATTAACAGAGGGAAAACTGGAAATAAATTATTCACAAATAAGTGGAAATGAAACAACACTCAACAGCCAACGGGTCAAAGAAGAAATCACACAGGAAATTAGAAAATACTTTGACACGAATGAAAAAGAAAAATATAACACATCAAAACTTATGGGATGCATTTCTTGGAATGGAAGGCTCAATATAAAATATCAATGCTACCCAAAGTGATTTACAGATTCAATGCAATCTCTAGTAAAATTCCAAAGGCCTTTTTTGCAGAAATGGAAAAAGCAATCCTCTACTCACAGATTTGCAACAGGCTCCAAATAAGAAAAACAATATTTTAAAAAGAACAAAGAAGGAGAACTCATACTGTTGCGGAAAAATGTGTTACAAGTCGGTGTTGCAGCTCAGTTGTGACAGCAACTTGGATTCAGGCGAGAGACCAAGCAGCACTCAGGTTTATTACATCAGCAGGCCCAGAAGAGTTAACACTTTAGGTTCTGGACCCCATCTGTATGTTTACACAGGTCTTTTATAGGCTGTCAGTTTTACACTTTGTCACATCATATGTAAATAAAGTACAACAGAAGTTGACCAACCAGGAACAAGCTTTGTAGAAGTAGCCCAATCAGGAGTGAGCTCCATGCAAATGAAGTAATACAAACGGACCAATCAGAAGTTAGGGAAGTGGACCAATCAGAAGTTAGGGAAGTGGACCAATCAGAAGTGAGAGTAGTAACCAATCAGGAGTGAAGGAACGTGAGCTTGGGGAACCAATAGAATTTTAGGTGTAAGTTAGCCGCTTTAGAGGCAAAAAGTGAGATAGAGCCTCTGGCCAGGGAACCGGACGGTACTAAGAGAAGAGCGGTCCTGCCCAGGGGTCCTTCCAGTCTTTTTATGGGGCTTCCTGCCTCAATACTTTCCTACTACAAAACTTACTTTAAAGCAATGCTTATTAAGACAGTGAGGTACTGGCATAAGGAGACACACAGACCAATGAAACAAAACTGAGAATCAAGAAATAGGCCCTTATTCTATGGCCAACTGGTTTTCTTTCTTTTTTTTTAAATTTATTTTTGGGGGGCGGTAATTAGGTTTACTTACTTAATTTA